GTCTTAACAGAGTAATTATGTCTTAATTCATTTTTGAAAAGTACAAGGAAGCTCAGTCAGATTAAAATAAGTCATCAAATCTTAAATACCAGATTCAAAAATCCCTAACTGAGATAATTCCTATGTGATACTTCAGTGAATCCAAAATAGACCATTGCCTGATTCACTCACAAAAGAAGCCTGGTCACATGTATAAGGGAAAATAAAAAAGTATTAACAGAAAAAGGACAATAATTAAACCCTGCTCTTCTCGGATATAAAGAATTGCGTCTTTCAGTGATCACAGCCATGCTTCAAAGTCAGAGATAAAAGCAACCGTGTGATTTAAGCAATTGATTCTTAAAGACGTGATTCAAAGGTGGAAGAAAAATTTCAAAAGTGGAAAGAATATAACAGCATCTCTCTGAACTGTATTTTAAACGCATCCTTTCTGGTACTTCTTTCTCCTAAGGTTCTTCTATAATATATTAGGAAAACAAAGTAGTCATTTTTTTAAACACAGACCTCTCTCTTTTTTCAGAGCATGAATATGAAATATTTCTATTTTACAGCCATCAAAGCACTTCCATCTTGTTTTTTCTCAAAAGAGCTTTTAATAAGAAGATTTTACTGATATGAAGCCATCATATATGTAATGATACATAATAGAGGTCCCTAAGTATATAGGACCCCAAACAATTTACAGCAAAATTATATATTTAAGCAAGGTTTGATTCCTACCCAGCTTAATTTTGTCACAGTTGTGATTATTTGTCCTTAAGTGACTCCATAAGAATGCTTTCTTTTTATTAGTATTATTTTTATACATGCTCTCTGAAAATGCTGCTTATTACTATTTCACAAAGAGTAAATCTGTGATTTCCCTTTCATTTTTCAGCTTTTTAATTAAGCAAAAAATAAGGTAATAGAGAATCATTTCATCTCTTCCTCCAGCTTAATATTTTTGAAGTAATAAAAATAACCCTGTAAAACATCTGGAACATTCCCTCATGGAGGGGCAGGATTCGTACTAGGGGAGAGGGAGACATGTCTGAGGTGGATTTTTTTTTTTCCCTTTCTCCGACTAACTAGAACAGTTACTTATCCCCTGCACCCCATCACTAGGCAAGTTCAAACTACTGCTAATGCCAGCCAGACATTCTCCTGCAGGAGACAAATGAGTGGCTTCCACTCTTTTTCTGTCCTGCTGAGACTGAGTCAAATCATTTCAGAAAATGTTATTCTAGGGGAGGGTGAACTTGCAGCTGCTGCAGAGGGTAAGCCCGCCATCGCCCTGCCACTTCTGACACTTTGGACGGGCTCCTCGCCTTCCGTCTGCATTTGCATGTACAGCTCGGAGGTAAGAACTCCAAGAGGAAGTGTCCTTCTGTCTTCAAGGTCCCTGGAGGATTCTGGCAGATGATCAGGGTTAGATTCAAACAACAGCATACCCCAGGCCCCCACCCGCCCTGGCCATTTTTGCCCAGGGATCTTTTGTCAAACATTTAAGATCTTAATCAATCTTCACTCTGACCTCCCAGACCCCAAGGAAGATGGATGAGGAAGTAGGTGACCTTTCACCTGTCCTTCTATTTGTCCTGCCACAGAAGACCCATTGAAAAGACAATTGGGGAGGGATCTGCTGCCAGAGTTCTGAAGACTTGCCCATTCTCTTTTATATCCTTTCTTAAGCTCCCTTTACACCCTGGTCTTTCTTGTTCGGCTCCCAAATCACTTTTCTTTCACTCAAAGGAAAAGTTCTCTTTCCTATAGCGGAGGGGAAAAAAAAAATAGACACTCTCCAAATATCATTTTCAAATGATCCTTACTCTTTGTTAGGGCAAAGGCAATGCTTCCTATCTTTGTCCTTGACTTCTAAGAGTGGCTCGAAGATGGACTTCCCTTTTACCATTTCAACCCACCACACTTAAAAGTCAACAGCTATGACCTTGATTAGAGTGATAAAAGAAGCTAGTATTAACATCAGTTTAATGCTTTATGACCTAAACAGTGATTTTTTTTTACCAATTTTACATCACTGTATCCTCTAAGTCTCTAAGCTAAGTACAATTATTATCAATCCATTTTATAGATTAACAAACAGGCACAGAGGGTTTAAGAAACATGCTAAAGGTCGTGCAGTTAAGTGACCAAACTGAGACATATTTCCTTGTGAGGATGTTTTTCTGCTCTACCTAGATAATCATGATACCCCAGTAATGATGGTATATGCCTGTGTGCCTGTGTGTGAAGTCACTTCACTCGTGTCCAACTTTTTGAGACCCCATGGACTGTAGCTCTCCAGGTTCCTCTGTCCATGGGATTCTCCAGGCAAGAACACTGGAGTGTGTTGCCATTTCCTTCTCCAGGGGAACTTTCCAACCCAGGCATTGAACCCGAGTCTCTTATGTATCCTGCATTGGCAGGCAGGTTCTTTACCACTAGCACCACCTAGGAAGCCAAATGGTGGCACAGATGGAAGCAACCACTTCTTATTACTCTTAAGATGTTTACAGACTTGAGTTATCTCTTTAAAAAAAATCTCACTCAAGTTTGGGATTTAAGAATTCTTGTGATTTAAGTTTTTTCTTCCTCCCTAAATTCATCAGAGATTCTTACCTGGTAGTGTTTAAAAACAACCAGTGCAAGGTTTTGTGCAAAAAGTGTCTTCTTGAAAGATTTAATCTTTCTACAAGTAGCAAAGAAAATACATGGGTAGCACAAGTGAGTGCAGATTCTCAACAATAGCTTAATCAAACTTCCACTTCCATTAAATATCTAGTCTTGTGTTTGGAACAGTTTGCTCAGAAATGGACTGAACCTAAACCATGCAGCCTCAACCTTTCTATGAATCACGTGATGATGAACTGTATTCCTAAGATTATTTCCATAAAGTCATCCACTACCATGTTCAATTGCCTTTACATTCACTCCCCCCTCCATCTTTTTCTCTTTTCCTTCTAATTCGGGTTGTAAAAATGTCAAGGAGTTTCACAGTGCAGCAATGTATGAGTTACTGGGCTGTGTGACAATTGGAAATCAATGACATTAGATACAGAGAGATGTACTAATGCAAGAAACGTGAACTTCTGAGCAAGAAATGTTAGACAAAATGTTTTTTAAGAAACATATATGTAAGAATCTTGACATGTTAAGATGTGCAAGTCTTGTCTTACAAAAATAAAAAAGGAAGAACAATTTACTCTAAGATGCGAAGCAGTATTATTACCCTATTCATTTCATAGGGTACATTCATTTCATACCCTATTCTTCCCGCTATGATGATTATAATTTAGGAGCCAACAATGCACTCATATTTTTCTAATATTAACACTGGAATATACTTCAGGGTATATTGGTACCTGTACCAATATACTGGTATACAACATACCAATACTGGTATACAATATTGGTGGCTGTACCATTTGGTACAGCTTACCTAGTAGTTGCTAAGCAAGAAATTAATCTTTGTTTAAAAAAAACCCTTGAAATTCAAACATGTAAATTTTCAACTTTACCTTTTGACTCAAGGTCAACAGAAAAGGTTGCCAGTCTTTATCCTATTTTATAGTTTCAATGCATTTAAAAGACATTCATTGTTAGATACTTCTAGAAATAACTACAGCACATCAAGAAGAACACTTATGATCTCTGACAGGAGAAATATATAACTCTACGACACCTCTATAACTCTATGAAATATATAGCTCTATAACTCTATGACACTCTAAATGCAACTTTCTTTAGGTTGTAACTGTTGATTTCCAATCGGTCAAGTGGATTGCTCTATAGTCAATCCCACCCTGTCATTAAAGTGGTTGAAATGCCAGACAAATTGTTTGGCAGTCAGTTATTTCGGGCTCTTTAATCACCAAATCAGATGAACCAGGCAGTAGTGTAGTCTCCAGCACAACAATCACCCTGAGAAAAGACTAATCTGATCTGTTCCAGAGATGGGACCCAGAGTTACACACTTCAGTAGTAACCTTAATAAGACTGACGGCAGCAGACTACTGATAACCACTGAAGATAAATACCAAGCAAAATACAAGTCTTGAGATAACTGATTTTTGTAAGCCTTAATTCACACGTGGTATGAGCAATCCATATAAGTATGGAATACTCCAATACTCCCAGCCTTTACTCAAAAACAAAGCTACTATAAGAAGTCTGCAAACTCTCCCCAAAAGGGGAAATAAGGGAAGAGGGAATTGCAGAAAGGGTTAAATGAGAGGGAAAAAAGTCACCTTAGTAATATGATAAATAGTCATTAACGTGACAAAAACAAACAAACAAACAAACCTGGATTTCTTCAAAAACTCAATAATCAAAATGGATCACAATTTACTACTGCTTCTGACCACAGATCCAATAAGAAGACTCTTACTAGCTCTTTATCACCTCTTCAGGGAAATCAAGAGGTCTTTCATCAAGATTCAGTTCACTTGGAGACCCCATCAATGGGAGCTCAATGGAACAGAAGGCGCGTGAAACCCTGTCACTCCACTTTGCTGACCCATGTCTACACTGCTCCACAAGGCCGGAAAAACTGGGCTTTCCTCACACAGTTCGATTTTAATCAGCAGGAGGAAATTGGAACAACAAACCCTAATTTGACACTGAAATTATTCACGGACATATCCACAGGAGGAGAGATGTTTACCGACAGGAGAACCAGGGTTTGAAAATGTGTGGATCCTCTTGAAGCAAGGATCAATCAGGACCCTTTCTTCAGCTTGTTCATTTACATTTCAGAGGGCACATCAAGCCGGTTCACATCTAAGTGCCTGTTAGCAAATGCGTTTGGCCTTCTGCTGATTACAGCAGCATCATTTATTTTGTCAGTATTAGAATCGCCTTAGCTTTGCCACCTGGAGCTGTAGCACTTAACTCATTAGACCCCTCTGTCCCACCACATCCCACAGGGGCTGCTAATGACTGGCTTTACTCCATTTAGCCTCATCTCTGATTTAATTACGTGCACTAAGCCCTAATGAAAAGTACAATATGGCTCTCCTTACCTTGGCATTCTCCATTCTGCTCTTCATGCCCGGCATTGCATAGGCAGTTGCCAATGGGTACCAGCCATTCACCATCTGCCCCGCAGTACATTTTTGGCACGTCCTTCTCTTCTGAGTTGTTGACACAGGAGCCTCGAACTTCCACCAGGGAAGAAGTATCAGCACCTGTGACGGTGTCCGGAAACTGGGCCAGATTGCGAACGGTGAGCGGACACTTCTTGTAGAACACGCGGACCGATACCAAGGCGATGCAGGCCCCCACATCCTGAAAAGCCAGATAGAACCCCTTTTTGCTCAACGGCCCCACATCCCGGATCTCCGTGTTTAGCTTCATGATTCGGTCGCCAATGTCTACTTGGGTGAAGCTCTCGTCAGCTGCGATGGTGTCAATTTTGGCAAACTGGCTCTCTCGGATAAAACGCTCTTTGTCGTTGTCTGATTCATAGTAGTACAGGTTAAACGTCTCCTTGCAAGTGCCCATGACACCCGGAAGGCTGTTGCAGTCCCTCAAGGTGAACTTGATCTCGATGTACACCCTCTGAGCCCCTTCTCGGGTGATCCAATCAGTTCGTAGCCAGTTATTCTGGCTGGGCTCCATCACGTTGCAGACTTGGTAGGTTCGGATTGGTGTATTTTTTTCATCCATAATACTCACTTCCTCCCACTGCAAAGAGCCAAAGGAAATGCATCAATTGCAAACATTTCATCATACAGTGATTTATCAGTTCTGTTTCCCCCTCATAGGACAGTGATGATTTTTGTTTCAATAAGAAAGAAAACTACCCAGCACCAATTCCTCATCAAGATGGTACTATATTGGGGAGCTATTTTCTTTTCATTGTTTCACTCTTTTGCCTAAAATTCCAGAGGTATTACTGGATTGATTGCTTCTGAGTTCTCAGGCAGTTCCTGGTGGTGGTCTAACAACCTCAAATTCACCTATTACAACAGCTGCAGTTTCAAGTGGCAACAGTTCAAATTTACTCATAAATGAAAAACTAGGGATGTGTATTGTTCCAACAAGGAGCAGAGACCTGCAAATTAAGAGCAGGAAGAGCAGAGTTTGCCAAAGGAAGACAATTATCAGTTAATTAGTGGTGCTCCTGTCAGAACTTTGCTCTCTAATACCTAAAAAAAAAAGGCAGTCGATTTTGTTTTTTCTTTTCTTTTTGGCATTGTCATTACTCTTTAAAGGGGTAAAGAAAATCTCACAATTCTGGTTTTGGTAATCCTGGAAAGATAGAGAGTAAGCTTTATGGCTGGATTTCTCAAATACACTGTCATTTAAAATGGTAGGACACTTTTCAAGAGCATGTATTTAGTCCAAAAGTTTGTATACTGTTCTTATTTTTAAAACAAAGCCACATTAAGTAAACATGAATGTACATATGTATTGCTTCTAAATAGTCTGTGGATATTGAGAAAAAAAAATAGTAAGTGGTATTTATGATGGAAAGCCCAAGAAAATTAAACGATGGTAGGGTTTTCTTTCAATCTACTTTGTAACATAAAGATTCTCACAGTGGGATAATCTGAGTTCAGCAAAATTCACTGTGACTAGCATTCTAGTTTCATTTTCACTGTGCTTTTAAAACAATCCTAAAAGCAGCAAGATAATTTGGGGGCTCCTACCAGGCTAGTAGGCAGCTTCCAATTCTTCATTAACATCTACAGTAATGGCTTTATATAGAGCTGGTATAAATCAGCTTAAATATCTAACACATGAATATAATTAGAAGAAAAAAAGATAGTTTAAAAAAATCATATTCTATAATAGCTCCACTTAAAGCTCCATTCAATCCAGTGAAGTACATAGAATCATAATGTATCTTTTAACAGGTTTCCCATCTGTGCATTGGAAAACTATTAATGGATGGAAATGTTACTACGTGAAGGGCCATAATACATAAAATTCTGCATCCCTTTCATCTGCCACCATTATGAAAGTTGGAACTGAGAAAGATAAGTGCCCTGTGTTGATTAAAATTTATTTTTATCCACTAAGCAATAAATCACCAGTAATTTACTTATTTGGGGAAATTCATGTAAATCCAAAAATAGATCCCAACCTTCAAAAAAACTTACTCAGCATGCTTGTCATCTCAGAACAAAGGAAATATGGAAAAACACATTTATCAATGTAAATGAAAGCACGTAGGGACATCTCACAGTTCATACAGATAATTCAGATCTAATTCAGATTTTCCAGCCAAACTTAATTGTCTAAACACATTGATCAATTCACCAGAACAATGACAAATCTTCCCTTAGTTTTGCATTTTACAATCAGTGTCAGAAACTCAATATTCTCCTTTAAATGAATACTGCTAAGAAATTAGGTTTTTGCTGCAATGTTGCCATCAGGAGTCATCACTTTCCATTATTTTCATGTTCTGCTTAGCTGTTCTAATGGAAAAATGAAACCATAACTCATTTTTGACCTGGTGGTATTGTCAAATAGGTTTCTTTTTAAAGATAACAGTAACAACAAACAAATGTATGTCATTATTGTTCAAAATTATAATTTCAAATTTCCAACCAAGGTGTGAACTGTTCTAAGGATAAGTAGAGATTTCAGAATAATCAAAAAAAAAAAAACCTCAAACATGCTTTTACACTAAAGAAAGAACTTTTTAAAGCCAATCCAGCTCCTACTTGGTAGATATCCAATTCATCCCTTCATTCTAAGTCTGAAAATGTCTTCTTTATTACAAAAGCTAGAAATTAATTAAACTTTATAATTTGGCACATAATTTTTCAAAGGCTACTATATATTTTAGAAGGACTAATTTTCTTACAGACAAGTTCATTTCTTACCTTTTATAATAATACTTAAAACATTACACATACATGGCATTTCAGGAAAGGGAAAGAGAACACTCTCTATTCAGAAGTCCACATTCTGCTCATAAAAAGTTCTGAGTTGTGTATAATCAGCTATGCACAGTATTTTCTTTTTAAGGGACATCAAGACAACCAAAAGAAGCTTTGTGTCTAGAAAAAGTGATCAGATGGTCTTTCAACAGTTCTCAGGAGCTAGGGTGTGGGGAAGGAGATGTCTGTGGCATATTAAATTGCAATAAAAGCTTTCCAGAAACAAGATAGACCATGAACTATACTCAAAAAGTGTGCTACTCCTTGCTTTTAAATAGGTCACATGTACATTGAGTGTAACAGGTCAGGTCCAAAATCATGCTAGATATGTCCTCTCTTTAAACTTGGGAACAATCACTAAGAAAAATAAAGCTCATTATAGTTTTTAATGCAAGTACTGATACCTTCATTCTCAGTTTTGCCAGCAGTTCTAACACTTTCAACCTACAGAGCAATACCGCCGGTGTAGCATGGGAAAACCTCCTTGAATCACTGACCTTTCCAGGGTATAGGATTAACAGGAGTCTGACTCTCACAAGATAAAGCTGTACCTTTCTTCGCATTCAAAAGATGAGGGCAATTGCCTGCAATCAGTGGTGAATACAGCCTGTCTACACTGCCAGAGACCTGCCAATCACTCTCCCTCCCATTTAAAAAAAAAAAATGGTTTTGAGGGCAGACTAGAATTTTTCAGCAGAGACCAAACCAACTGCAGTCAAGTTCAGGCTGAAAAACAGGAAGGCAGGGCAATCTCCATTTTATTTCAAATGGATGACAAGACTGGCTTTGGAAAAAAACCAGCCTAAAATTCTCCTTTTTCATGTCCGTTTTCTTGTCTTGTTTGTGACACCTATCTTCATAAGTTTCTATGAATCTTTGTTTTTTTTCAATCCTTTATTGTTTATTCAATGGCCAGATGTGAAGTGCCATGCTGTATGCCGGCATTACAATTTTTGCCTGATAAGGACTCCTAATCTTTCACCCCCCCATTGTTTTTAATCAAATGACTGAGTCATAGACTGTCAAGCATGTAAAGGCAGGATGATATGCTTAATTTTTAAAACATTTGAGAGTCATTTCAATTTGGCAGAAGCCAGAGTTACACGTTGTACTGATTTCTTTCCAAAGCTGATCCATTCTGACCTGTTATTAAGGTGTTGGGGACAGGGGGATAGGGTAGGAGAATGTGGCAATCAACCTAATTCTATTCTCAGAATCTTCTGATACAGGCAGTGATGGCAAATTCAAGAAGAAATGAACAGTGATGTACTCTGTCCTACTTTAAGAATCCAGTCTCCCTGAACCTCAAAGATCCAAGATTCCAAATACTTTAACTGTCACCAACAATGCACAAACATGGGGCTTTTTTTGTTCTTTCTGCACAGACGTTGCCCCTGGTGTGACACGTATGCAGGTTCATAAGGCTTTCTCTCAGCTTGCAAGTGAACAGCAGCTGATTTAAGGTCCTCATAGCAAGTTACAGAGCCCCCCACTGCTCACACACAGAACTAAACCTGCTTCTGGTACAATTGGAAATGTTTTCTCTCTGGTATCTTTATTTATTCATTTTCCTCATCTGGAACAGAACAATTGCTCTGAAATTAACCCTGTCAGGATTTCATGGCTATCACAGGAATAGGCATAAATTCTAATTTGGTCCCCAGATCATATTTCTTGTCGGTGTTTTAGTTTTAAATGGGCATCTAAGGCGATGCCTCCACCAGTATCCTAGTTTTGAAACCCCTTTCTGCCCTTTTGGATTCCAGTTCTGCCATGACAGAGCTATCCAAAGGGAGTATAGGATTTCTCCAACAAAGCGTAATTCACTTCATAGGCCATGGTGGAAATCTGACCCCCTGGCCACAATCAACAAGAATCAAGCCATTAGGACTCTCAGAAAGTTGCTAATCACTCTTTTTCACCCTGTGGATCAGAGAGCAATTCGAAAAACTTACCCCTCCTTCCAGAGGGCTGGCTATCCACCCAAGTTCTCCCTGAACAGATCTGGAATCCAATAAGGTAACTGCAAAAAAAAAAAAAAAAGAAAAGAAAACCAAAGAAAAATAGATTAATTTCCAATTGCAAAAAGCCAATAGTACAAAAAACCATTTGCTTGAGCGTTTCCATATGTGCCGAGGGTGTGCATATCCAGCTCTGATCAAAACCTAAACTCGGTCTCACTTATGTAAATAATCATTACTCACTTGATCTTCTCCCCTCTTTAAATCTGCAGGTTCTTATTTATTTAACTTGCTTAGCATTTAAAATTCCATCCTGGGAGTCAGTTGATTCATTTTCTAAAAAGGATGAATAGAGAATCTCAAGTACAATTCAAAAAATAAATATATCTATGTAAGGCAGTTACACTCCAGAGCAAAATCTGCATTCATCTCTGTCTGGTATCTACTAGAGTTATTTGTTTTTGCAAGTTTCAGATGACCGCATAACTCATCATCATGGTGACAGAGCCACAAGTGAATTCTCTCAGAAAGTACTCAAAGGGTCATGAAAAGGCTCTCTCTCTTACCATTTTTTTTTCCCCTCCACCACCAAATAAATAGGCTCTGGATGTGGTATCCGCTGTTTTTTCAAATATCAAAGTTTAAGAAGGGAGGGATGGCAGACGTGTGGACTTAGGATGCAAATACACTTTAAGTATTCACTTTCCCAGGTCTTTTTGAGGACAATCGGAGACGACTCCTCTGGCCAGGAGGAAATCACTGGTTTAAATCTGAGATATGGAGGAGGGCTGCTGAAAAGATTTACTGTGCTTGTGCAGCACCTACGAGCAAGCATCCAAGCTTAGGACGACTGGGAGGTCGGCTACTCAGCCGTCGCACCCCGCCCAAGCTGAAACTGTCCTAGGCACCGAGGGCAACGAAAAGGACGCCATGAATTCCTGAACTCGCCACACTCTCTTTCCCACCGAGAGCTGCAGGCCTGGGGTCGAAAGGCCCATCTCAAAGAAACCACTGGGTTATTAATTTGATCAGCGAAGCTAGCTCTTTGGTCTGGGGGAGGGGTGGGAATGCGAACCCTTCATTCTTGCTCCAGCGCACCCCAACTCTGTCTTGCCCCCCGGCTCCTGAATTCTGCCCACCTCCCCATTCATTTCACCCCGAAGTCAAAGTAGTTAAACCGAGCCTCTTTCTCCTGATTTCCCCGAGAAGTCTGAATTCCTAGGGTCTCTTAATTATTTGAAAATGTAGAGTTTCCCTGGGTTGCTCCAGCCCGGAGCTGCGCCCCCCTCCTTTCTCCCCTCTGGGTCCCTAGAGAAAAGCCCGCTACATCCATTTGGATTTATGTAAGGTGGATTAGGGACACAAAGGGAACAATAAGACCCAATTTACAAAAAAAGAGACGGAGTAGAAAGGGAGGGTAAAAGGGAGAAAAGAAAACGTGATGGGAATAAAAAGCAACAAAATGAATTAATTTTTAAGGGGGAGGAGGGGTCGGCGAGGGGGTGAGGGCATCAGCGCCCTTTTTGTCTAGGGTTCCCAAGTTTTCCTTCCAAAAGAAAAAGCAAGAGGGGAAAAAAAATCTCTGCGTTTGGTGCAGAAAGGTCTTGAGGGACGTCCTAACAAGAGTGCGAAGTAGTCAGGAGAACGCGGCATTCAGGATTCGGCTCAGAGGAATGACTCTGGGGACCAAGGGGGCAGGAGCGACCGAGACGGCCCTTCGGAAGGAGGGAGGAGACCCGGAGGGTGAGGAGCGCCCCTTTCTTCCCAAGCCGAGCCGTGTCTGCCGGCAGGTGTGTGAATCTCTGGGAGCCTCCGTCTGGCGAGCTCTGGGTACCGGCTGCCCAGCTAAAGCTAAGTTGGTTTTTGGCTCCCTCCTTCGGAATAGGGAAAATGATAGATCGTACGGGAATGGATGGACGGATCCTGGAGAGACAGACTGACGGATGGACGGATGGACTGATGGGTGGATGCGGGAGGGTGGGGAGGTGGAGGAGTAGACGAGACGGATGCGCGCAGGCTCGAGTGCGAGCATCACCAGAACACACGCGCGCCCAATCGGGGCACTCGAGCACAGGCACACAATTGTCCGCGTCCACGCGGGCACCCGCGCACCCACATCCACGCATATGCGCCCGCGCGCAAACACACACGCGCACGCAACTCGCCTTTCTCTGAGATCATTGGAAACTAAATGATCAACCCCCACCTGCACGACACAGGCACACACACAGCCATCCCAGCACGTCCAAACCGACGCGCGGAAAACTGAGCACCGCACGGAACCAGTCGGTCCCTCGCGTTCCCTCCAAACTAACAGTTTGGAAGCCAAAAGCTAAAACTCGAGTACATTCAACTTGCCAGCGGGTTCCCCAGGTCTAGGGGTGACATAAGTAGCTTGGGGCCCCCTAGGCCGACAATCACACCCCCAGGGCGCGGGGCCCCACTGGGAGAAAGGTGTTTAACGCCGGGTGCTAGAAATCAGGTCACCGGCGCCTGGCGAGCGGCGCCACGACCGCTGTGCGGCGGAGGCTCGGGAGCCGGGTCCCAGGAAGCGCAGGGCTTGGGAAACTTTGCAGAAACCAGAGCTCGCAAGGCTTTCGCAAGAACCCGAGAACACCACGATACCCTCAAGGAGCTCTAGGCTTCCGTTCCCCCTCGACCTGAGCGGAGTTGGGAAGTGGTAGAAGGAATAGGTCCACACATTTTATTTATTTATTTATTTATTTTTTAATCTTGGCGTTGTCTCCTGTGCGTCCCCTCGGGGCGCATTCACGGGCTACCCTCGCCTGTGGATGCCGATAAACTTCGTCCTTTCGCTACAAACTTGGGCAACCCCTTCACACGCACGGGTCACCGCCCCGCAGCAGGCTGCCCGGCCGCTCCCCGCAGTCCCTTCTCTGTTCCCCCTCGCTCCAGCTCCCTTCTCCGGAGTCAGGGCGCACCGCTCGCTCCAGGATCCCCCCGCACCCTCCGGCCTCACACTCCCGGGGACCATTCAACCGCCGATCGTCGCTTCTCTGTCCCAAACCGCAGAAAGGTCGCCCCGCTCTTACCTTCATTTGCGGGATACACCCTAGAACCGGTGACAGCGTCGCAAATCCCAAAGAGAAACGAAAAAAGGACGAAATAAAAAATCCCAGCCATGGTTCGCCGATGCCAACGCTGCTCCTGCCGCTTCTATCCCAGTGGAATAAATGCTTAACTTAGGAGTGCAGCAGACTGAAGACATTGCCAAGGGGGTGGGCCCGGCCCGTGACGTGCGCCCGCCAGTCCGGGGCTCTCGGCCAATGGTAGCGCAGACGGCGCTGCCTGGCCCCGCCCCCAAAGAGCAGAGCCCGTCCCGGAGCCCCGCCCCCTCTGGGCTCGGCGGGGCGTTCAGTCTCCGGGCGATTGAGGGTGAGTTTTGCCGCGTCCCTCCCCCGCTGGAGGGAGGCAGCGGGGTCCCCTGGTCACCCCTCAGGGTTCCAGCCCCTGAGCGGCGGAAGAAGCTGAGAGACTCTGAATTGGTTGGGGGGCAAGTCTGAAGAAAGGTTGGGCACCCCATGTTCCTCCTCGGGTGGTTTTAGATGAAGGAAAACGCTTTTGTTGCCATAAAAAAAAAAAGTATCAAGTTGACCTGCATCTCTGCTGTTGCTCTTTTCTGAGGGTTGAAGTGTTCGCGTCCCGCGCGCCCCGACTAGGACTGCACAAGGCACTCCTGTGCGCCGCCGCCGCCGCCGCTCTGTTACCTTGCCCCGTTTCGTGTCTTTGTGGCGCATCTCCATAAGAAATACTCTTTGGGGAGAGTTTGGGGACTGGATTATTCTTTTACCCAGGCTCCTAGTTGCCTGGAAAGCTAGACCTAATCAGTCCCCAACGTCGGGTGCAGCGCTCGGCCAGAAGCAGGGCTCTGTCCCTGTCTCCGGGGGCTGAACGAAAGACTTTGTAGCAACGGAGAAGTCCCCTGGGGAACCATCTCCGCACTCAGCCGTGGGGGCTCCCCATCCCCCGCCCCGGCTCCGGACAGGACTCCCCACCCCGGCAAGACGCCCGGAGGTGGCCTTTACTGCCGGGAATCGACTGTGTGCTTCCCGGTGGGGAGTTCCTGGAGCCGGGCCTAGCAAGTCCGGGGCGCAGGGGGTTGAAGCGAAGAGCTGATGAGGGAATGCGGGGACCAGTGGTAGCGCAGACGGGCCGCCCACCCGAGCTCAGGAGCTGCCCAGAGCGGCGGTTGCGGCTCTGCGCTCGGGGTCGCTTCCCCTGCGCTGGTCCGGACCCCTCTCGCCGCCGCCAGGAAGACGGTGTGGGCGACAGGACCCGCAGAAATCCGCGCAACCGCCCCTGCTGGAGTGCTCGAGTGTCCCTGTGGCCCTTCTAGGGGAGCCGGCAGCACTGGGCCCAGGTTTGTCCCCCGATGCCCCGGCCGCGGGCTCAGCAAACCGAGCGCTGCCCAAAGACCTTAAGGCAGCAGGCGGCCTGGGGCCCGGTCCCCGACGCTACTCTCCGGACGTTTGAAGACGCCCCGATTCCTGACGACGTCTCCCCTCTTCCTTCCTCCCAAATTGCCCCTCCTCTGACTCCGCGTGGGGTGAGGCCGGGTTTTCCTCCCGAGCCTGGGTCCCAGCGGGAGGGTGACCGCCGGGAGGTGGAAGCGCCTTTCCCCTCTCTAGTGGCGGCTGATCGTGAACCAACCGCGCCACCTGCCGGCCATGATAGGAAATGCGCGGCACCCCACCCCCACCCCCGCCCCCGGAAGGGCAAGCGGACAAAGACAGCACCGCGTAGCCCGCCGAGAGTAGGTATGTCGGTGGGCTATCTTTTCACCCACCCTCCCCTGCCCCGAGCCCCCAGGCCACACTTGTGGAACTGTGGCTGGAGGCCGTGGAGAAGACCCGGGAATCCTGTCGCACTTCTCGCCAGCTGGATGGCAGAAGACGGAATCAGAAAGCGTTTCAAGGAGAAACTTGTAGTCAGTATCCCAGGGGTAACCTGAATAGCTGCTATCCCTGAAAAATCCTAGATAAAGCGGGAAGGGTGTAGGGCAAGGTGCAGGAGAGAGGAGATCTCGTCCACGGTTTCAGATCGTCGGCTGCCGGAGCACATCGTGTCTCCTCCACTCGTGCAAATTTAGACCCGGGATAATAAGGTGGGCAACTTTTACTTGAGCGCTGCTGGGCGAGGCGCTGGGTAGTCGCTGTGTGAGTTTGGTGGCTTCGAGGGACAGCTTGTGGAGCTGCAGACGTTCTGATTTCTCCATGAAAGACCTGCTGAAATGTCACAGTCTGAGGAAGTGGATTTCAGTCATTGTAGCCACTGATTTTACACAAATAAAAGGGGGCAAAGAAATGCACACTTGGAATATACATGTGTGTGTGTGTGTGTGTATAAATTATTTAACAACTATACGAAGTCCTTTCAAGGAATGCATTTCTAGGTTCTTTCATGCCCTGAGTTTCTAGGAAAAGGAGATGAATATTGATCCCTGTCATTCTATACACAGATGCAGCAGATAAAAGGAGCAATCTGAATTCTTTTTAAAACGTTTTTGAAACAATAGTTGCTAGTTGCCTCTCTGCAAGATTTGATTTTTGCATGTATGGGTAGTTGAAATGGGAAATTGACTGCCTGCCTTCTTAAAAACAGTAACATTTCTAAGACTTAAACCAACCCTTCCCCCCTACCCTATATGCACGCTGAATTTTAAAATCTTTCTAGCTCCAGCTGCCTGAAAGCAAGGCTTCATTTGCTAGAGGACATTCAGTGACTTCGGTCCCCTTTTTTCTTCCCATTTCCCTTTTCAAGACCCAAAGCTGCCCAATAATCTGGAAACCCAAGAGACAGGAAATGCTAACTCAGAAAAACTGAACTATAACTTTCTCTTTAAAACATTTCTGGGCTGAAGATCAGAAACGAGCTGTTGCATACTGAAGTATTTAGGATAAAAGTATATGATAACTTGACTTTCTCTAGAAACATTCCAATAAAAAAAAAATGGAAAAGAAAGAAAAAGTATAAGGGAATAAATAGATAAAACAGTGTTGAAAATGTTGGTGTATTTTCAAGTGCTGAATAATGGGACTCGTGAAGTCATTACACCATCCTTTCTACACTTGTGTTTATTCAGAGCTTCCTATTAAAAAGTTGTAGTAGAATTTGTTTTTTTTAATAAAGGAAAAATAAATGTTAGTCACTCAGTTGTGTCTGACTCTTTGCAACCCCATGGACTACAGTAGCCCACCAGGCTCCTCTGTCCATGGAATTCTCCAGACAAGAATACTGAAGTGGGTAGCCATTCCCTTCTCCAGGAGATCTTCCAAATTCCTCTATCTATTGTGACAACCTAGAGGAAAATTGTCCTAATCTAATAGACATGATTCCTCCTTAAAAAAACAGGGCAACAACAGCAACAAAAAATGATAGTGGTCTTAGTCCATCAATGGACCAAATGGTATTGGTCCATCCACCTTCTATGCAACCCCCTACTTTATTAGAAAACACCTTGGAGTTTTCAGACATTTGAGAGTACTTATAACAAATCAATCACTCAATGGAGTCACATGCATACACAATAGAATACTACATGAAAAACACCTAAAATCACCTGCTTTTAATATAAATTGGCTTGCCTTGAGTAAAACTAGCCTCCTAACTGCTGTAAGAAGTTGAGAATATTTTGAATCCAATAAGAAATGTCTTATAAACTTAATGAAAATAATAATTCAATAATTTGAATTCTTGATAAAATTTTTCTTTTTTTTTCATTGCCTACCATAAAAATTTGAGTTACAAAGTACACTTTAAATGCTTATTTGAATTAAGGTTGAATTTCAAAAGTATCTTTAATGTGTAAAGACATTTTAAAATAACACCAATTCTCTTAGAATTTCTACCTTTAAGTGGAGGGCCAGTTCTACCAAAGTAACCAGACCTTTGGACAAATCAGCAACAAGAAAGAAAGTGTGTGGAAGGCTAGAGAAAAGGTCAGAATGAGAATAGAAATCTACTCTGCCTTTTACTAGATGCTCTGCCAGAGTATCTAGCTAGTGTAGCTGGACTACCCTGGACTTCAGTCGCTTTGCTATAAAATGGAGCCTCCAACAGTGCTCCAGTGACTTCCTGTCATTGCCAGAACCAGGATTTTCAAGACTGAAGCCCTTAGTTTGCCATTCTAACAGCTCTTTTACTAGCTGTATGTCTCTGGGTAAGTTACTTTAACTTCTCTGAGATACGGATTTCTTATCTGTGAACTGGAGATAGTTACATGATGCTTCTAAAAATCGAAAAAAATTTTGTAGAGCAGATTGTATGGTATTCAGCTTGTGGTCAGTAGCTGTTATTACTTTCAAATAATATCTCATTAGTAAGGACCACTATTTATTAAATGAGCAATCATTTGTTCCGCTTGAACCTTCTCTTCCACGAGGAAATCAAGCTCTGTGATTTACCTTTTGCTCTCCATGAGGGGAGGAGGCTTTATTTCACCAACTCCTGGAGTAGGTATGGAAATAAATTCTAAGTGTTTCCTTTTCTTTCACTGTTGATTTATTACAGCTCACACTTAACTGCTATGCTTAGTCACTCAGTTGTGTCCAACTCTTTGAAACCCCATGGACTGTAACCTGCAAGGCTCCTCTGTCCCTGGGGATTCTCCAGAATACTGGAGTGGGTTGCCATCCCCTCCTCCAGGGGACCTTCCCAACTCGGGGATCGAACCCAGGTCTTCCGCATTGCAGGAGAGATTCTTTACTATCTGAGCCACCAGCAAAGCCCATGAATACTGGAGTGGGTAGCTTATCCCTTCTCCAGAGGATCTTCCCAACCCTGGAATCAAAGTGGGGTCTTCTACATTACAGTTAGATTCTTTACTAGCTGAGCTACCAGGGAAGCCCCTTAACTCTTATATCCCTACATGATTCAACAGGATTTGGATCTAGGGATTGTAGCTGTCTTCAGAGGTAATATTTCAAAAATAATTAAATGAAACAAGGTGGTGTAAGGAATCAAAAATGCTACCACCAAGTCAAGAAGTTGGTGATACTAAATAACCTAAGTTCTAATGAAATATCCACTTATGTCAGAAAAAAATGCTCCCAACCTCACTATCACCTGAAATATAGTGTCCTGAAACACCAGTTGATGGGCTTCCTAAAGCTCCCAGGAAACTGCTGGAGATTTCATCTTTAGATGTCAAGGCTTTGATACTACTTCTTATGCAAATAAGAAGCAGGACACTTGTTAGCCCTTGACACCCGAGGGGGAAAATGAGCCACAGAGCTGAGGGCTTGACTGTTCAGAAGGGTGAGATACCAAGACACAGGAAAAGACCTTCAGAATGACTGAGGCAGAAAAAAGACAAGAAAGATAGGATGGGGGAATATTACTCAGCCAGTAAAAGAATGAAGTAATGCCATTTGCAGCAACATAAATGGACCTAGAAATTGTCATACTGACTGAAATAAGCAGACAGAGAAGGAGAAATACCATGACACCCTTTAGGTGCAGAATCTAAAGAGAAATGATACAAATGAACTTATTTACAAGACAGAAACAGACTCACAGATTTGGAGAAGAACTTATGATTGCTGGGGGAACAATAGGGATAAGTGACAGTGTCAGACAGGGAGTCTGACATTGACATGTACACACTGCTGTATTTAAAATGGGAAACCAACAAGGTTCTGTTATATAGTACAGTGAGCTCCACCCAATGTTATGTGGCAACCTGGATGGGAGGGAAGTTTGGGAGAGAATGGATACAGGTGTATGTATAGCTGAGTCCCTTTGCTGTCCACCTGAAACTATCTCAACATTATTAAATGGCTGTACGCCAATACAAAATAAAAAGTTTAAAAGAAAGAGAAAGGATGGGAGTTTCAAGTTCAGTTCAGTTCAGCCGCTCAGTCGTGTCCAACTCTTTGCGACCCCATGAATCGCAGCATGCCAGGCCTCCCTGTCCATCACCAACTCCCAGAGTCCACCCAAACCCATGTCCATTGAGTCGGTGACACCATCCAACCATCTCATCCTCTGTTGTCCCCTTCTCCTCCCACCCTCAATCTTTCCCAGCATCAGGGGCTTTTCAAATTAGTCAACTCTTCGCATCAGGTGGCCAAAATAGTGGAGTTTCAGCTTCAGCATCCATCCTTCCAATGAACACCCAGGACTGATCTCCTTTAGGATGGACTGTTTGGATCTCCTTGCAGTCCAAGGGACTCTCAAGAGTCTTCTCCAACACCATAGTTCAAAAGCATCAATTCCTCGGTACTCAGCTCTCTTTATAGTCCAACTCTCACATCCATACACAACCAACATTGGAAAAACCATAGCCTAGACTAGACAGAACTTTGTTGACAAAGTAATGTCTCTGCTTTTTAATATGCTGTCTAGGTTGGTCATAACTTTCCTTCCAAGGAGTAAGCGTCTAAATTTCATGGCTGCAATCACCATCTGCAGTGATTCTGGAGCCCAGAAAAATAAAGTCAGCCACTGTTTTCACTGTCTCCCCATCTATTTGCCATGAAGTGATGGGACCAGATGCCATGATCTTAGTTTCTGAATGTCGAATTTTAAGCCAAGTTTTTCACTCTCCTCTTGCTTTCATCAAGAGACTCTTTAGTTCTTCACTTTCTGCCATAAGAGTGGTGTTACCTGCATTTTTGAGGTTATTGATATGTCTCCCAGCAATCTTGATTTCAGGTTGTGCTTCATCCAGCCCAGCGTTTCTCATGATGTACTATGCATATAAGTTAAATAAGCAGGGTGACAGTATACAGCCTTGACGTACTCCTTGTCCTATTTG